AGACAGAGACAATAAAGGAAAGTGAGAAATCATACCCCCAGGATAGATGGCCAAACTACAATCCCTTCTCCTCTGTTCTAGGATCTTGCGCATGTATTTGCACGGGCCTGGCGGAAGTTTCAAGACACCGGGTCCAGGACTCAAACCACAGTCAGCCATGTGGGACTCCGAAGACATAACCACTATGCAATCTGCTGGATCCAGAGGGTAGGGGGTATTAACTAGAGATACTATCAGGTCTGGCTCCTACTCTAGGGCTGAATACCATACTCTGCTGCAGATAAGGATTAATAATAATTTTGCATTTACAGTACACTCTCAGATTAAGGAAGACACTAAGAGTGCCAGCTTTTTCAGTCCCAAAAAGACAAATACTGTATGATTTCACTTATATGTGGTTCCTAGACTAGTCAAATTCAAAGGCAGAAAGTGAAATGGTGGCTGCCAGAGGCTAGGGAGGAGTCAGTGATTAATGGGTACAGAGTTTCAGTTGGGAAAGATAAAAAGTTCTGAAGATGGACAGTGGTGATGATTGCATAACAATGTTAATGTACTTAATACCAAAGAACTGCTCGCTTAAAAGTACATGGGAAAGGAGTCAGTAGGTGACCTTGGTGGTTAAGGGTGCTAAACTCCCACATGGCCGACTATGGTTCAAGACCAAGACCTGGCGGCTTGCTTTCTCACTTGTTCTGCCCCCTCTAGCCAAATATAAATAAAAGTTAAGTAAAATAATTCTTAAAAAATGTAAAAAAAAAAAAAAAAAAAAAAAGGGATGGTACATTTTACGTTACATTTATTTTACCACCTTTTTCATTTGCTGTAGGGTAGAAAGGCAGAGATAAAGAAAGGGAGAAGAGGAAAGTAAGAAAGCACTCCCCACAGGAGATAGTCACACCACAATCCTTTCTTCTCCATCCTCCTCTGAGGATCTTTTTTTTTTTTTTTTTTTTTTTGGGGTTTTTTCCTTTTTTTTTTGAGAGGTTTTCGCTATAAGGCGCGTGGGCTCGCCAGACAGACAGAGAGACATAGAGACAGAATGCGAGAAATCACCCCCGAGAGGGGATGGCCACGCCGCAATCCCTTCTCCTCCATTCTCCTCTCGGGATCTTGGGCACACATGCACACATGCCCGGCGTGAGTTTAAGCCACCTGGTCCGGAACGTGAAACGAGGTTGACTACGTGGGAGTCCAGCGACATAGCCATTATGCTAACTGCTGGTTCCCCTCCTCTGAGGATCTTGAACACACAGGCACACGGCATGTTTTTCAAGCCCCAGGGTACAGGATTTGAACTGCGCCGTTGGCCATGTAGGATCCAGCTGCCTGAATCACCACCAGCTGTCCTTCCCATTTAAAAAAATCTATATACTAGCTTTAAAGTTTTATTGTCTGTGGTTTGACTCCTGGAATGGTGATTCAATTACATGACCCTGACAAGTCATATAATCTCTCTAACCTGATTTCTCTAAAATAGGAGCAATAATAATATCTAATTTGTAGGTTTCTCTAAAGATTAAATGATATACTCCATGAAAAGTCTTTAGACCAGGGACTAGTGATACATGATTAAGTATTTAATAAATGTTAGCTATTATTACTACTACTGCAATGCACTTTTATAGCCATTTTATCAGTCCCCACAATAATCACATGAGAATTTACAGCTAAGGAAACTTAGTCAAATCCTCTGCCCATGAGAGGTGCCCTAGCCTCACCATTTCTTGTATGATCTGAGGCAAGTGCCCTAATCGTCTTCCTTATAGTAAAAATGAGACTAAAACGTTCTCTGTGAACTCCCTCACAAAACTGGATTAGAAATGAAATTAGATAATGGTTACAAAAAAGAGTATTGTAACAACAACAAAAAAAAGTGGCAACCTAAGAGAGCTGGTATACCTGTGCACAAAACTTGGCCTCCTATTTTTATTTTTTAAGAGACTTTTGTTATAGGGTCTGTGCGTTCACCAGATAGACAGAAAGTGAGAAATCAACCCCAAGGCGGAATTGGCCACTCTACCTAATCCCTTCTCATCCATTTTCCTCTCAGGATTTTGGGTGCAAGAGCACACATGCTTGGGGGACCAGCAGATGGTGTGGTGGTTAAAGTGCTGGATACTCCCACATGGTCAACCAGCTTTAAGTCCTGGACTTGGTGGCTTGCTTTCTCACTTTCCTTCTCTCTCTCAATGTGTCTCTCTGGTCAAATTTAAATAAATGAATGAATTAAATTAAATTAGAGTAATTCTTTAAAAAAAAAAAAAACATACACCTGGTGAGAGTTTCAAGCCTCCAGGTCCAATTCAAACTGCAGTCAGCCATGTGGGAGTCCAGCAATGCAGCCATTATGCCATCTGCTGGTTCCCTGGGGTCTCCTCTTCTTTAAATAAATACAATTTTAGTGTATACACACACACACATATATTTTTTGTTATTTTTGAGCTTCCAGGTCCGGGACTTAAATCAGTCGATCATGTGGAAGTTCAGAGCCTCAACCACCATGCCACCTGACAGCCCCTGATCTGTTCTATTAATGCTAACCATGAGACACAGAGGACTATATAACATCCTTGGAATTTCCAATCACTCAGGATTCCTGACTTTAAGGCATGAATAAGTGGCTTAATTGCCTCTTAAGTAGCAAGAGGGGCTAGCAGGTAGCATTGTGGCTAAAGACACTGAAGTCCCACATGGCCAACCACAATCTGGAGGCTTGCTTTCTCACTTTTCCTCTCTCTCTCTCTCTCTCTCCCTGTCCCTCCAAATAAAAATAAATAAAATAAAGTTCAATAAAATAATTCTTTAAAAAAAAAAAGTAGCAAGAGGGGCTAGCAGGTAGTATAGTGGATAAGGCACTGGATTCCCATAGTCAACCACAGTTCAAAACCAGGATCTCGGGGCTGGCAGGTGGCATGGTAGTTAAAGGCACTGGACTCCCACATGGCCAACCACAGTTCGAGTATCAGACCTAGCGGCTTGCTTTCCCTCTTTTCCTCTCTCTCTCTCTCACTCTGTCCCTCTCTGGTCAAACTAAAATAAATAAATAAAGTTTAAAAAATGATTCAAGAAATAATTATAAAAAAAAAAAAACAGGATCTGGAGGCTTAAAAATCATGCAGGCCCATGTGTGTGGTGCCCATCAGCCCCAAATCCTCCCACCCGACCCCAGGGATCATTTCTCACTTTCCCTGCTTCTTTCCCTCTTGTCTCTTTCCAGCAAGTGAACATGACCTATGAGAAAAAAACTAAAAAGCAACAGCAAGAGACATGGGAGAAATAAAAATACCAGGAATTCTAGTTATTGTCACTATGGCAGCCTATGAATTTAGAAAACTTACTTCCCCTTTCCAAGGATCAGTTAATAATCAAGCCAGGAAAGGCAGATAATGTAGATTGACAAGATTACCTTTTAAGACCCCTTATAGGGGTCTCTTACATAACACACTCCTAAGTCCAAAATCCCTGAAGGGAGATGTTAGGAAATGGGGAGCAGCACAGCAAACCTAGGAGATTCTAATAACTAATGTAAACATCAGGAAACCTGGCTTCAAGACCTGGCCAGGAACATCCCTGCCTGATTTTTAGACACTCCCTACAACTGGGATCAAACACACTGGAAAACTGGAACACTTGCCAAAGTTAATTTTAGTTCTCTTTAACCCCTCTGGGCCTTATCTGAAAATAGGAGAAGTAAAATTTATTTGAAGGCAAAGATGTGAAGTAGCTGACTTGAGCTACCCATCCCCAAACTAAACAATAGAGAACATGTCATAAACAAAGGATGGATTTCACTATAAAAATGTAAGGGCTCCTTGGGCCAAAACATCAGGGAACTTCAGTTGTGTTTGAGACCTGGAGTCTTTAGCATCCAACTACTTTCAATGGTAATTTTATCCTAAACCTCCTTTCCCAGGAGCTCTGATAACCCCAAAATGGGGTTTCATTCATAGTATAATGGACGGTGAGTCCAGGAGTCAGGAAGTACTCAGAATTATCTAACTAAATCGTTACCTAGGGGTAAGTGAAATTCCGTTCTGCAATAAGAGAGTGCATATGCCACATCAGTAAATAACAAGTACTAGCACCAGTGCTTTATACTACGCTAGTTACTGTGACTTGGAGCAAATTATTTGCCCTGTTGGTGCCTGATTTCTGCTTCCGTAAATAAGGATAACTCCAAAATGCCGCTGTGGCATTAAATGAAATAAAGCTTATAGTCCCTAAGTCTCATTAAATGTTACTTGTTGGTATTAAACACTTCTCTCACTACTAGTTTCAGTCTCTGGATCCACGAATATCCTTCGAGGTGAGTTTCTCTCTTTCTCCCATAACACAGAGGGACAAACTAAGTCTTGGGGGCGAGGGGAGCAGGCAGCGCAAAGTGCGGAATACAGCCCGAGCTCGAGGGCCTGTAGTTCCTCTCCGAGCCAGAGGTGTGCAGCGAGTTCACATCTGGCAGGTTTGGAGGGAGGCCAAGGCACCCAAACCCGTGGAGAGAAAGGGAGGACGAGTTCTGCGCGTCTCCGGGAGTGCGCAGACCCAGCCCGGCGGGAAAGCTGGAAGAAGCCCGGGGCTAGCGCGAGAGGCAGGGCTGAGTCTGCCGAAGGCCTTCCCGGTGCGGTCTCCGCTCCCTCCCTCCTCCCCTCGCCGGGCAGGGCGGGGCGCGAACACAAAAGACTCCAACTTCCGAGTGAGCGCGGGCCCACCCCGCCAACTCCAGCTCCAGGCCGGGCCCGCGGGGAGGGAGCGGGCAGGGAATGCCGGGGCGGCCAAGAGCCGGGCGGATTGGTCGGGGCCCGCGACCCAGGGCGGCAGGCAAAGGAGGAGGTAACCTGGAGAGAGAGGGGGCTGGAGTTCCTCGTGCTCCCCGGACTCCCCGAATGGACGAAAAGAAGAGTTTCTAAAAATAAGCAGCAGGCGGCCTGAAGAGTAGGGTAGCGGAAAAGGCACAAGGAACAAACCCCCGGGCCCCTAAGGAGATGCCTGTGGCCCCCACTCACCCTCACAGGGAGGTCTGAAGGAAGCCGCGCGGCGTGCAAGGAGGCGGTGCCGCCGCACTCGGGGGCGGAAAGGAGGAAGCGAGAGAGAGGAAGGAGGCGGCCCGGCCCCGGCGTGAGGGAGCAGAGCACACGCACC